TTTGATACATTTGATAAAAATGGGAATTCCCAATTTGGACCTAGCCAGATTAGCATTAGGGGTAAAACAAAGGCTGGAGAGTTAATTAGATAAAATATTTCTTACTTTAAATACTTTTAAAATTTTTTGTAAATGGGATGAGGCAGACTTAGGCCATATAGTTTTGCAAAATACTGAAGAATACCTCAATGAATAGCTAGAGATTTAATAATCTTATCAACATGTCCTTTGAAAGGAAGTTTAGTAGGTCATTGTAAGAATTAACATATTTTATGGGATTATTGTATATATGGAATGTGGACAACTGAAGATTACTAATACATGAAAAACACATGATTACAGTTTTTGTACATTAATTTTTAGGTTAGCTTTTTCTAATAGGGAAGATAAGCAGAGTAGATCAGACTGAAGGACATGTGGGTCACGGTTAATCAATTTAATACCATCAGCATAAGATAATGTAGGCAAAGCAATATAACTAAGTATGCTGTTAAATAAAATGAAAAAAATAGGCTGCTTAAAGTGGAACCTCGCTGAATTTTGCATAAGGGAGAAAAATTCAAAATTGCCTAGTTTAATTTTACAGGTACAAAGGAGGTAGTAATTATTAAGACAGGATTGGTAAGCAGGATCAATTTTGAATTGATCTCCGAGAATTGAGAGATGGAAATTGGGAATTACAGAATTGAAGGCTTGGCTAATATCTATATAAATTATGAAGTCATATTGTTTTCTTTCAAAATTCTGAAGAATTATTGATATAGTTTGGAAAAGATTGATGGTGGTGGAATAATTCTGTAGGACACAGTGCTGAATTGATATTAATTTAAAAGAAATTTTTGAGTAAAGTCTACTGTATTAACAAATTTCAAAAACTTGGAAAAAGGTTGCAGGGGTCATTGGATTTTCTCCATTTCTAGTGTTTTTGAAGTAAGGTTTTATAGATAATAAGTAAACCATTTTTGCAATGAAATATCAGTTTTACAGTATTGCAAATATTTATATATAGTAGATTAAAGAATTTTATAAGTAATGTCAGACTTTGCATTTATAGTGATATCATTAGATTCAAGATATGACCAGTTCAGGGAACAGATGTGGGTGGCAACTTTTTTCAGTTAATTTGGATCAATAAGAAATTGCTTTGATTTACCAAAGTTTAAACAGAGATAAAAGGCAAATAGGTTTGTGGTCAGACAGAAAACCATGGGTCAGGTAGACAGTAGCATGGGAGTTACTAATGAATACTAGATTAAGATAGGAATCCTATGTCAATGGAAAAGAAATTATTTGGAATAAATTAAAAAAAAAAAAAAAAAAATTTCATTTATAAAATAAACTTTAGCAGAGTTTAAAATGCTATAATATGGACCTGAAACTTCAATAAACAATAGATAAATTAAAATTGCTGCACATTAACAATTTAAAACTGGAAGGAATAATAAATAAAAATAGAAAACTGTGAAGAATTTGAAAAACAGAGATTCTTAGGGTGAGGTGCATAGACATTGGATAAAATAAGTTTATACTTGGGATTTTTAAAATAAGAATAGAATCAAAATATTCAAATATTTTACAAACTTGTAAAGATGGGGAAGGCAACAAGTATTCCTCCACTTCTTTTGATTAATGAATTCTAAAGATACATATGAATAACCCAATAGACAAATAAAATTAGCAATATCATAAAACAATGAGGTAAACCAACTTTTGGTAATAACATAAAAATCAAAAGTATCACTTAATATAGACAGGAGATAGGAGCATTTATTTTTGATGAAACAAACATTAATATTTTTTTAATTGGGATATTTAAGGACATAATGTGAGAAATATTTCTAAAAATATATAAAAAAATAAAACAAAAATAAAAAAGTAAAATAGATAAGTGATAAAAATTAACTAAAATTAGAAAAAATGATAAAGTACAATTACAATACCAATTATACGAGGGCTATTTTTTAAATAAGGTCCGTTTGTGAATGAGAGTGAGAATGGTGCGGGATTGCAGCAGTGTGCATGAGCATCTGCTTTCAGCATGCTTTGAGTGTGTTTGGATGCCATTTGCAGATATATCATCTGTCTGTGTGCTGAACTGTAGAAGTTTATAATGTTTAAGAAAATTGAGTCGCCTGCCAACTGTAAGATACGATCTGTTATTCTATTTCAGCACGAAAGATCATGGTAACTGTCTTTTGGGACNTACCAGTGTTCAGTGGTTTTATTCATTCACCAGTGGCTGAATGAAATGTGAAATCAATGTATTCAAAGTTTAACATTTATTTTGCAAATATAAGCAAAATAATTTTAAAATATTACCAGTTTATTATTTTTAATGGGAGCATTTATTGTCTCAGAATTTGACAACTTAGATCTAAATAGGTACTATATCAAAAGCATGTGATAAATTGTGATCAAATTTATCAAAAACCTTGTGATAAATAAGACTGGTAAATAAATTTATTTGATTTTAGTTTTATATAATGATGAAAATGTTTTACATTTTTAAAAGAAATTTTCATTTCAAGATCAATGCTACTATAAATAACATATCAAATTTGAAATTATTGGTTTTTGGTTCTGTGCTAAAAGTCAAAATTGACTTTTCTAGCACAGATAGATGGATATATATAATACAAAGTACATCATGAACATAGCAAATCTCACTTCCATATTCAAATTTCTCAGCAATAGAATCCATACACACAGGTTATTAGATGTATGCATGTAACTGAAATGCCATTATCAGAACAGAATGAATTACATCATATGTTGTATGTGCTTTGGATAAATTGTGAATTATTGGATATCTATAGAGATCATAAATTCATGAGTAAGATGGGTGTCTCCTTGATTGGTTGTAACTATGAGCTATTGTGCTGGTTGTTTGTAATAATGGATATATGTGGCTAATGGAGGAACATTAAAGGCTTTAAGCTGTGGTTTGGCAGGCTGGTATCAGCCATCACTGCTCCAGACCAGTGGTTTCGATTTGACAGTTTGTAAATACCAGAAGATTCCCGCTAAAAAGTTCTTAATGTCAAATATTGCTAAACTTGTGTTTAGAGAAACAAGCCAATGATCATAATTAAATTGACAGTTTGTGTGACTCTATGTTGTGTTAAAACACTAGAAATAAACTTATCATATTTCATTAAACATGAATAATTATTTGTATGTAACAGAATTTGTGAAATAAATGCTTTTTCAGAATATATTTATTTTCAATTGTTAAACAGAGTAATTGCACTAAATTGGTATTTATATAAATTATATCTTAATTTTAAATTTTAATAAATACTAATATGAAAATCTTGGCCATAAAACTATTCTAAATATTTGATGATGTAATTCAAAAGTTTTACATTTATCATAAATCCATTTAAGGAGTTTGGAATAGAAATTTTGTATTTAACATTCTTTATGAAACATTGGGAACCATTGCTCTAGATGGTTGTTCATTTGTGAAAAAGGTTAAATGACTAGATTAGATATATCTACATTATATTTCATTCTTTTCAATATAGAATGTGGTCTGATTCTATACTATATCAAATTTTGCACCTGACTAATTAAAAAAAAGTAATTATAAGAATTTTAATCAAATTTTTTAAACTATCAGTCTATTACTGCACTATCTTACTAATGTACTGAAAGTAATGCATGAATGAAATAAATTGATCATGGTTTTATCAATTTATTTGCTTAATTTTAAGTGTAAAAAGAAAAGTAAGTGAATAGTAATATATTTTGGATAAATTAGTCTAAAATTCAGTAATAGAATATAATACTATTTATTATACAATATTAGTATTATAACTTTAAATTTGGATTTTTTTTTTTAGTATATTGTTTTAAGATTTTATATTGTAAGAGAGCTTATTGTCTGCTGATGGTAAATAAATTCTGAAACTCAGTCCTACTCGTGAATTAAGTTGTCTGATATTTATTGATTTTAATATTCAAAAGTATTTATTCAAACAGAATTTAATGAAACAGTATTCAATAATAATACTTTTGTAAAAATTTATTATTATTAAATCAATTATTTATTTTTTAATAATTGATTTAATATGGTTTTATTTAACAAGTTAATGTTTATTTATTATGAAATTTCTGAATACATATTATTTATTTTATTTATTAAATGAAAACAAACCACAAGTAGATTAAATAATACGAATAATATGATAATTTTCAGCTATTAATTGACATATCATCATCCTATCAAGAATGTCTTACTGCAGATTTTAATTGTGTAAATTCTAAATTATTCAGTTTAAAAATAGAAAACTAGCTGTTTAATTTAAAATGAATTAATAGTTTAGTTGTTGGCAAAACTTATCCATTATTTTTCTAGATTGAAAATGCATATTACACAATAAAATGCAATTAGTATTGATAAAATATAAATTAAATGTAAATATGCTAATTTCTGTAAATATTTAATATCTTACATTAGTAACAAATTGGATTTTATTTAAGAACTTGTGTATTCTTAGTCAGCAGTTTATATATAATTATTTGATCACCCATATGCATTAGGTGCAGAAATTTTGATATTTTATTGAATTTATTTACTAGAAAGTGCTTTAATTTTAAATAAAGTAACAAAAGTTATTATTCATATTTTTCTACTAGGTATTTAATTATTTTTTTTCACACATTTGTTTTCAATAACTTTAACAGATATTAGATGATTTATAAAATGAGTGAATTTAAAAGTATTACAGATATCAGTTAGTAGTGATGGTTGATGATGCATTTTTCTGCATTAAATAACTTTTAGAAAATTTAAATAAGATATACTTAAACATTATTTTAATTGTTATGATAAATTTTTAAATTACTTATGTAATTTTTTTTTATAAAATCATACATCTCAATATCAATTAATGTTAATTATCAGTTACTTGGTATGTGAAAATAAATATTAATATTTTAAAATTTTGTTTTGTAATTTCTTAATAAAAGTATTATGTTTTTAATTATCAATGTAGGCAAAGTGATTGGAAAAAATGGCCGCATAATCCAAGAAATAGTAGATAAATCTGGCGTAGTTCGTGTCAAAATTGAAGGTGACAACGAGAATCAGACATTAAAGGAAGAAGTAAGTTTTAATTTTTAAGCTCAGACAAATTAAAATTAATAAAGCTGTTCTAGTCTTCATTATGAAAAATTTTATGTTCAAATGCGATTTACAGTAATAAATTAAAAATGCTAATTTTTGTCTACTTTTTAATATTGCTGCTATTTTTCATATAAAAAATTGCAGATTAATGTTGTGCTTCGTTTATTCATGTAAGAGCATCATGATGAGGCACTGGCTCGTCGATGTATCACCAAAAATTATGTGACTAATTTGAGAAAGATTAAGAACCACCAAAACAGACTTAACATAGACTTATACACGCAACTAATTAGCTTCGAAAACATTAATTTTTACAGAAAATAATTTATTTCAAGACAATTTAATTTTACGAATTTGTTAAAACATTTAATTAATAATTCTCTATGGACTATACAGCAAATAACGCCAGTATAATGTTAAATAATAGTTTGGTCATTTTAAAGAAACAACCGATCTATTTAATGGTTGCGTTATCGTTTTATATATATTTTTTTAAAATGAATTTTACGCCTGGAAGCAGCCGTTGATGCTTAGCTACCCCCTAAATTATATCACACAGGTTACAAAAATTTCTACTCGTTATCGTGTAATGTGGTTAAACCCCGCAAAAACCGTACCTGATGCCGAAACAACTTTAATTAGCGTTAAATTCTTCTATCATCTAAATCACGTTGGCAGTAAAATTATTACCTTGATTAAACACAAAACTTTACCGGAATTCTGGTTTTAAGTTCAATAACCTTTGCCGTTAGATAAGTGTAGAGGAATGATAGGAATATCGTTGTTGTCATCTCACAACGTGTATCAAAGAAGGGTATTTCCTAAGAGTTGGTAGATAATGAGCTTACACGCCCATCGATCTGGACTCTACCCATGTTTGTAGTTCCAGCTGTGTGCTATCCTCCCAGTTCATGTCGGTAGAAGATGTGACAGAGAGATGTGCCGATAAAAGAATGGTTGACCGCAACTTTGAGCTTAGCAAACTTATTGTTAGTGACAGATTTTATAGCTGTCGTTTATAGTAACATATGTGATTGTAGCATCAATATTTATTAAATAAGGAATTTTTAAGAAAGACCATTCCCAGATGCTTAAATTACTTTACTAATTTTCGATCTATCCAACTTTTCAAAGGAAAAAAAATACTTATACATTAATAAATTCTAGAGGTATTTTACAAATTTTCTTCAAAATAACTCTAAAAATTTGCTCTCATGCATGCTCAATAAAATGTATTTTTTTACATATATGTGTATATATAATGTTTATCAATTATTCGAAGAGTCATAATTAATATTTCTTTAAATATTTAATTTAGTTTTAGTAAATAGAATATCATTAAATTAACGTGGTCGGCTAAAGTTAGTACTAAATTAGCTCTTGAACCTTTTAACCTTTAGAAATTAATCATTGCAACATTTTATCTGAGATTCAACAAATCTTCAAAGATTGTTGGACTTATTTTAAAGCATCAAAATTTAACTGCTTGAAAGAAAATTCAACATTAAATAATAAATCTTTAGAAATATTTTAAAGTTTCATCATTAAAAATACACCAAATTAACAATTAATTTTTGATAATATTTAAAAAAGACTTGAAGAAATTCTTTGGATATTATTTTATAAATTAATTTAATTAAATGTATAAATAGATTATTAACTATATTTATTTTTATTATTAACTTTATGGTTTATAATATAATTATTCTATAATTTATATATTTAACTACATAAGAATAAAATATACTCATGATTATTTAAAGAAATTTAATTTGTTTTTAACATGAAATTATAATTATTACCGGCGTTAAATAAAATTAAATTAACATTATTTAATTTAAAACAACTATGTGACTTGTATTTAATCTTAATTTTGCGCTTTGTAAGAATTTTAAAACAGTCTCAAGGTTACTTTTCCTTGCCAATTCTTGAAAAATTAATTATATATAATTTATGGAATCCTTAAACTTTTAATAAAGTTAAATAAATATCTCTAATAATTATTTAAATATAAGAAAATTACATTTAAAATTACTTATTTTCACTTTATAAACAAGTAGTAATGGAATGGAAATTGATAATATCCATACATTTATGTTAATATATATTACCATATAATCATACATATATTGTATGATTATTATAATAATAAATGTATATATGTATATTAAATTTTAAAAGAAAATTTAATAATAAACTAACATAAATATATAAAGAAAAATCAATTTTTTCCTCTCTTTCACAACAAACTTGTAAAGAGAAAAAGAGAGAAGTGATAGCGAGCAGTTAAATATATTTATTTTACAATAAAATAGTTTTAGTCCTTTTCATTTTATTTCCTATTCTAAAAATGATTAAATGACTTTCCTATTGGATTTCAGCAATAGTATTTTTATATTCCAAAACACATTATTCTAATCGGAATTGTATCGGGAGCAACAAAACACGAACAAAAAGTAAGAAATTCCATATTATTTTTCGTGAAGAGAATCAATTTTAACCCCAGATTTTTATGGAATAAAGAAAATACCAGAGAAAATACTCTATTGTAATTGTTTTGAAATAAATTCTAGTAGAATAATTTAAATAATAAACGCTTTAAAACTCAGAAAATAAAGATATATGAAGCGTAGAATTTTACTTTTCTCTTTATTCTTTTGTATATATATATATACATATACACTTAAATATTCAAAAGAGAAAAGTAAAGTTTGTTTATTTTTCTTTATATTAAATTTAACGATAGTAATGTTTTCATTCGGTATTTAATCTTTACGTATTTATAAATTTAAATAACCCAAAGGGACTAATAAGACGTCAAAAACAGTGAGATTTTATGCATCATAAAAACACACAAAGGCAATTATGACTGTAGAAAAATTTTTATGGATTTGAAAAGTAAAATAAATTTATTTTACAATTACTTGAAAGAGTAAATAAAATTTAATTTCTAATTAATAATTGCTAGAGGCAATGATATTGTTGGAAAATGTTAATGAAACTATGCAGTTTAATAGTATAAGAATGTAAAATAATTAAATCTTAGAAAATTATAAATATTACAACTTTAGGTTTTTATTAATTAGCCTAAAGTCATTTAAAAGAAATATATTTATTATTATTATTTTAGAATGAGTAAAAAATATATATTTATCGATAAAAAATAAATTTTCTTTACTAGTTTAATTATAATTAACGATGCTAATAGTCTTTGTAAGTTTTAATTATCGTTAGATCTTATTAAATTTTATAGGCTATGTTCTTAAATTACACTCTAATTTTTTGTGTAAATAATTAAACAAGTTTTTATAAACAATGGATAGTTAAATAAACTATATATATATAGCCTATATATTGTACTTGAAAGTTTACTTATTTTAGAATAATCTATAATTTATATTCATGAGAAAATATCGTCTAGAAAAAGAGATAGTATCACATAAAATGATAAATTCGTATAAGAAATATTTTAAAAATGCATTTTTTTTTCCTATAGGAAGATTTACGATAGATTATTTATCACAATACAAGTCTATGATATAAGTATGAAAGTTACAACACATTTACTCTATCTATTATAATTTTCATAGTTAGGAAGATTTTAACGAACCATTGCTACGTTAAATGATAGATGATATTATTAAAGAGTAATTAATTAATTTAAACCAAAACTGGAAATATGAAATATTATAATTAAACAAACGTGCTTCGAATTCTCTAAATGATTTATATATAAATATATTGTATTTTTAATGTAGTGGTGTACTGTACATATATATACGTATACGTATCAAGAATTGGAAAATTACAGAACGTTTCACTTATGATTCTAGAGTCATTAGAGGGTCTCTAATGAATTAAAACATATTAATTGTTTCGTGAACAACAATCTGTACGTAACGAAGTATATGAATAATACAATAGATATATACGTAAACTGTTAAAGGATATTATAAATTAAATATCTTTTCGAAATCATTTTCAGATGAATTATTTTATCTTTTAAAACCCTTGCAAAATTCTCTTAGCAAAGATAATTACGTTCGGTTGTGGATATCCAAAAGGAACTTTTCAATTTATTATGTTTTCAAAGAAGACGTTTCATCTATACAAACTTAAATGTAAATTAGAAAACGTTTTGTTCATCATTTGCCTCCAGGTCATCGACAATACAAATATTCAGGAAACGTTTAGAAATTATTAAATTCGTAAATGATATAATTCTATTTGAGTGATGTAATGATTAAATTAAAAGAAATTATAAGTTAGCGCCTAATTTTAATTAAAATTTATAATTTCATTTGTTTAAGATAAATGCGGTTTCTTGTTTAAGAACTGATTAAGACTTTTGTTACTTGTTCTAGAACATAAATATAATTATTAAAGCAGAAAAATTGTGGTTTTTTTTTCCTTAATTCTTTAATGTTTTTTAGAGCTCTCTTTTTTATAACTCTGTACTTATTTTATTTTAGTATCGAATCCTTTCAGCCAAAACGGATAATCAAATTCAAACATTGAATATATATATATATATATATATATTTTTCCCCCATGATAAAATACCAGTTCTAAAATAGTAATAATTTAATTTTGTGATTTATTTAGTTTTATTAGTTCTTTGTTTTATTTTCTTCGTATATAAAACCCATAATTGAAACCACCATATTTCCTACAGTACGTAAAAACACCAGTAAATGGCATTAAAGATAAGGTAGGAAACAGGAAAAATAAGACGAGAATACTTATCAATCTTGTTAACGTCCTTAATTTTGGGCATGGAAGCTTTGATGGCAGTTGCTCCCTTCTTAATGCTTTGCAGCACTTTAGGTTTTCTGGCACCACTTTGCTCCGATCGAGTTTTGCGTCCATAAATACCTGTGGGTCTCGAAGAATAAGGTAGTCTATGTCCTGGATTACTCATACGAAATGATGG